CTTTCTCCCCATGGGTCTGGAAATCTGATGGCAGGGGAGCACTGACACCTCTCCCCTGCTACTAAGTTTCCACACCCATGGGAAGCCCCAGGACCTGCACACTGGTTTGAGCCCCTGATCCCAGCATGCAAGGCCAGGTGCGGGGTGTGCCAGGCTACAGGACCCAATCCTGGCACAGGGGGACAGCAAAGCTGTGGGGCCTAATGAGTATGCCTAAGTTACTTGGCATTTTCTACAAGACTATTTCAGTTTTGAACTAAAATTTCCTTTGACTTCAAATCATAAAGGGCACTAGGACATATCCTTGAAAAGGTTTTGGAGGAAGAGAACAGGAGTGCAAGCAATGCTAGGTGCCTTGTCAGTTCTTCCATTCATATCATTTTCCCATTGAAAGGTGTGGACTATACAGGCATACAGTATAAAGACTCTTGCTGAAGGATGCCTGAGCTTCTCTTGGAGTTAGTCCCACAAAAAAGTCTTCCACCAAAAATGCTGATTAAACAAAATATAAAAGAACAGCTTTGCTTATCATGGTGACAGACTTAAGCAGTGGAAATACTACCTATTTATAGAACGCAGCCTTGCAAAGCGAGGGGAAATCAGTTATTTATGTTCAGGAACATAATCAAGCCACATCCTAGTAGCACTTCGTTTCAGTCTATTTTATTCATTTTCATTGATTGAAGCCCACAGTTTATGAGGGCTTCCTGATGTATAAATAAAAACTGACCTGATGTATAAATAAAAATGCAGAAAAACGCTCACTCAGGAAGTAATTAAGCCACTGGACAACACCCTGTGAAGAACTACCCTGCACCCAGACTACAGGCAAGGCTGCAGGGAGTGCCAGGATGGGTAGGGATTGGTGGAGAATAGCTTGGACAGTGGCAACAGACCGCCCAGAAAAAGACAAGAGAGGGGAAATCCATGGTTCGCCCTCTACATAGTGTAGCCTTCAACACAATGTAGCAGGTGTACAAGAGGAAGCCAGAGGTTCCTGTTCCTCTAAGGGGAGAGTGTAGTAGGCAAAGCTTTCTGCGTGGGGCAGGCAGCAGGGCAAACACCAGCTGCTAGAAAGCCAGCAGGCCAGAGACAGCAACAGTACGAGCTACCCCTGGGGGAGTACCTACCCTGGGGTTAGCTGCACTGCAGTAAGCAGCCAAGGGGCAGACCTCCAGGCACTGCAGTGGGTTTTGGGGCACATAAGCCCTGTGCCTGAGACCAGGTGGGCAATCTTGACCCTGCGTGCCGCAGAGAGAGGAGCTCCTGGGGGAGATGGCTGCCACTCGAGCTGGCAGCCACCCAAGCTGTCCCACAGTGCTGGCAGGAGAGCGCTAAAGGCTGGCAAGTTGGCAATGACCCAGAGTGAGGTGAATTTTAGTTGTGAAGCAGTCTGCTTGTATTTATGCTGTGGTTAAGTTTGAGACCAGAGGACCAGATTATGGCTGTAGGGAAGGACAGAGTGCCTGTGGGGCACTCCGGGACAGGCAGCCTAGCCTGGGGTCAGGGACCCAGAGGGCTGCGGGCAAGTGCGGATGAGCGAGGCCAAGACTGGAAGAGCTAAGGCCAATGAAAGCAGCCTGGCCTGGGGCCAGGGCCACAGAGGACTGAGGACTGGTGCAGTGAAAACAGCTCAGCCTGGGGTCAGGGACCCTGAGGGCTGTGGATGCAACAGTAGCTGTGCTGGGGCCAGGGCCCAGAGGGCTGGAGGAGTTAGGTCAAGGCCAGGAGGGCTGAGGCCATGGGAATGAGGCTAAAGCCAGGGAGAAGCTGAAACCAGATAAGCTTAGACCAAGAGGACTAACTGTAGGGGTGAATGGAGGCCATGAACATCGTCCATAAGGCAACTGGTGCCCCGAGGCACTGATAGGGCCAAGAGGGCCACAATTTAGTGCTCAACACGCAAGACTGGGGCCAACTAGGCGCAGCAAGGAGAAACTGAGGCACACACTGGGACCCTGGGGGCAGCCTCTTTATATACTACAAGACATATGGAGGGTACCTCAAGAAGCTGGAGTGGGGGCAGGTGTTGTTTGGCCGAGTCCTGCTACAAGGTGCCACTGACTGATGAAAAGACCCTACAGAATTTTGTGAGAAATTAGATAATTTCTCAGTACATGTTAGAGAACTGAACCACTATTGGTTTAATCATTGTTAGAGTATCTATAGGTGTTTTCCCGACTACTTCCGAGATCTTACTGGAAGTGACAAAAGACAACAGCCATCACTCACTGCCTTTTCATTGTGTGCGCTTGAAGACGCTCCTCTTGTCTCCAAGCTTCCCAAAAGCAAATCTCATGGAGACAAAGAATAATGCATTTGATTAAAAGTTTAATTATCTGAAAGCTCCCAAGTACAGCTGAACTTTGAAACTCTACTTAATGTTCTGCATCAACTGCGACACTCTATACTAGTTACTCTAATAGGCTGCAGACTTGTAGTTATATCGAAGGTAGTGAGTTGGAGGATGTCTTCTGAGAAGCACATTTCATCTGACCACAGCCCCCTCCAACAATTTAAGGTGGGAAGGCAGGAACTCTGGTTGAAGGAACCAGCAACACACCTATAGGCTGGGGAACACCCTTCTTGTCAACACGGTGGCAGAAAAGGATCTTGGAGTCATTGTTGACTCCAGGATGAACATAAGCCGCCAATGTGATGAAGCGGTCAGTAAGGCTAACCGCACCTTCTCATGCATCTACAGATGCATCACAAGCAGGTCCAGGGAGGTGATTCTTCCCCTCTATGCAGCACTGGTCAGGCCACAGCTGGAGTACTGCATCCAATTCTGGGCACCGCACTTCAAGAGGGATGTGGCTAGCATTGAGAGGGTCTAGGGGAGGGCCACTCACACAGTCAAGGGGCAGGCCTTACAAAGAGGCTAAAGGGCCTGAACCTATTCTGCCTCCACAAGAGAAGGCTGAGAGGGGATTTGGTGGCCATTTACGAACTCACCAGGGCGGGGCAGCGCAAACTGGGGGAGGCTCTGTTCCCCTGGGCACCACCCTGGCTTACTAGGAATAACGGCCACAAATTGTTAGAGAGAAGGTTCAGGCTGGACATCAGGTGACATTACTTTACATAGGGCTGCCAGGCTCTGGAAGGGGCTCCCAAGGGAGGTGGTACCTGTACCCTCTCCTACCTAGGGGGTCTTCAAGAGGAGGCTGGACAGATATTTGGCTGTGGTGATATGACCCTGGCACTCGTTCCTGCCCAGGGCAGGGGGTTGGACCTGATGATCTGTTTAGGTCCCTTCTGACCCCAAGTACTATGATACTATGAACTCCACTGAGAAAGTGTTATCGAATTCAAGGGGGGGGAACCCCCCCAAAAACCTTTGCCTTACTCTGTCCCCCACTTGCTCCTTCCCCATACCTTATTCAGACTCCATCCATGACCTCACCTTCACAGATTAACCCGGAATGAAACAGGGCTTCAAAGCCAGTGACTGCGCCTCCTCATAGTGCTACAGGAGCAGACAACAGTTATATGCTAATAGCAACTCTTTGTCTACTTCCTTTTCAAAAGGGTTAGAAACCGTGTCTGCCCTTAGCCTGGGGCAAATTTTCTGAAGACCATATTTAAATTCACACAGGTGTTAAAAAACCCAAATATAATTCCCCAGCCTTCCCAGGAGGGGCCCCGAACAGCCTTCATCAGTTAAGAGTTCAGAAACTGGAAGGTCCACTATTTTATGAGAACCATCAGTCAAGCTCCGTGCCAGTGAGGTCCCCTGAATGCACAAGCTGAATGCAAGTGAGAACACACAAATCTGCATGCCTGCCAGAGTCAGGTAGGGAAATGCAAATGAATATTCAGTTTCCTTTGAGTAGCATAAACATTTATGTCACACATTAAATTGCTGTATAATCCATGTAATTTTTTCCCCTTTTACAACATATTACTGCTGTATTTTACATTCTCCCGCATAGTCAAAAGGATTGAATTTCTCAATAGCATTATAATAAAACTCATCATCACTGTAAGGGAAGACAAATTCAGGGCATTAACTATCACTGTGGGAACCCTGTAAATCAAAGAAGATTCAGAGCCTGTAGTTCAGATACAAAAAATGCCAATAGCATGGCCAATGCCAGAGATGGCATGGATGTGTGTATGAGCTTATTTCGATGAATGGGAGCTCTTCTCAGTATGACGCTAAGAGTTCTTTGAAGTGACTAATTTTTCAGTCTTCCTTAAATTATAACCTGTATTTTGCTATTGCTACAATTTTAAGGCTGAATTAAATGTTTTTGCCTATTGTTCTGTGGTGGGTCCACTGCACACCTCCTGCAGGGCTGTTTGGAGCACACTGCACAGGGTAGTGTGGAAGCTCAGTGGTGGCTGACCTCCATTTTACTCTCTCCAAGCTCTGGCTCTACCTCTCGCCCAGTACCTTCCTTTTCAATGAGGGACTGGCCCAAAGTGGAATTCTGCAGCCCAACCATGCTGAACTTCGGGTCTCGATACCAACTTCATGGCTCTTATCCTCAATTAGAGGCCCCAAACAGACAGCTGAAAGGGTCTGGTTACATCTATATGTTGTTCTGGATCTAAATCTAGGTTGCAAGGCCCAGGCTCACCTCTGCTGGAAGCATTTTGTCAAGATAACTGAAGAGATACACTTACCGGTTTGCCTCGCACACACCCTGGTAGGCTTCAATTGCGTCCTCTTGATCAACATGCTTGTCACTGTTTGGCCAGCTGGGATGCGTGTTGATGCTCGATTCCTGAATTTCACACAGAACAACAACACGAAAACCTCAGTGTCATCAAAGTCTTTCAAATGTTGGATGTGAAGCAATTCTGAGCATGTATGATGGGGCTTCCAGCCTTTTGGGCCTATTGCCTTGTGAGTACAAGCGAGGAGTTTGCGAGGGTTTGTGCAGATAAGAGCATGCAGCAGAAATGTGAATGTAAGGAGGTGGATTTCTTTGGGGCTGGAAAGGAGATCCCTTTTTGACCCACAGAGGGTGCTAAAACCATTGAGAAAAAACCCCAAAGCCAATGCCACAGAGGGGTATTTTGGTTTTAAAAAAAGACTTCCTTGAAACAACAGCAGAAAGACCCACCTGTAACTTAGATCAGGGGTCTAGATCCGGCCCATGGGACCATTTTAGCCAGTCTGCCGGCAGTCTGGCAGGCTACCAAAAGCTAAAGCTGTGGGGCATGACCTGCTGCAGAATTCAGGGTCCCTCGATCCTGATGGACATGGCCATCAGCAGCAAGGTGTTGCCTGATCCCTGACCTGCAATGTCACCCACCCCTGGACTTACACTGCAGACGTGACCCCAACCTGTGCCACTGCCTGAACGTGGAATTGCACCATTCATCCTAGAGCTGGACCCACTGCAGCTGCTTCTGGCTCCATGGATCTGGCCCAGGAGAAGCTCCCTAGGCCAGTCTGAATCCAGCTCGGGACAAATTTGATACCCCTGACTTTGGTGGACCAAATTCAGTTCTTATTTATGTGGGTGCGAATGAAGTTATTTCCCACATACACCAATATGAGAGAGGGCAAAATCTGGCCTATGATTTTTTTTTTCCTTGCCCCCCACTCCAGATGAATTCAAATGTTTCTGGAGCTCACTCAGTAAGTCTCAGATAGCCATCTCTTGATGGCTATAACTTAACAAAGCCAAGTCAATGCCTTCATTAATCAAGAATAGTTAATGCTCTCTCAGTAAGAGAAAAGAGGGAAAAGGATTTCTCCACTCAGTTACCATATTTTTGCTGGTCTCTTTTTCCTGGGCTGCGTTTATAATCTGTGTCCTTAGAATAAGTACTTCTTCCTTCCTCACTTCCAGCTCTTCATTGGCTGATTTAAGCTGATTCAGTAGGAGGTTATAACTGTCTTGGATATCATTGGAAGAGTTGTTTTGGGTTGCTTGGTCTGCTATAGCCTTTCTTAGTTCATTAAGTTCATTTTTCAGTTTCTTGTTCTCTGATTCCAGTTCTTGCCTCTGTAAAATACCAAAACGTCACCTGGCTTAGATTAAGTACCCTGTGCACTTGTACAACTATAGTAGTCTTTATTTCTGTTATGCCTTTAAATGCAACTCAAATTGCTGAGGATAACAGCTGGTGATCAAGTATGCCAGCTGAAAATCAGGATTGCTATTAGTCAAGCCACATGGATTTCAAAAAAGTTTTGTGCCGCTTCTCCTGTCTCGGCTTATACTAGCCTGATCAGTAACTCTTCATAATTTCCTAGTGATTTCTACACTAGATGTAACACCCAAGTAGAATGAGAACTCTCCCTGTTTCACCCGCTTACATGGACATAGAAAGAGCTGCTTCATGAGAAATTGGAACATAAAATTATACTCCTTCATGCCCTTCCCCTTTTTTAAAAGGCTAGAAAAAAACCTAAGCCTGGATGCCGAGGCCAGGAAGACCTGCAAAACCCCAAAGAATTGGTTTAGTGTGTTTTAGATGTTTGTTGCAGGCAGTTGTAAGAGTTCACCCAAGTGGGAGACAAATATACTATTTGCATGGCTGTTTCTACTCTCTGGAGGGGTCTTAAAGCTGCCTGAGGCCCCAGTATGGCTTATTAATTTAATGTCTGGAATTCTCTCCCCAACATCTAGTAGTTAAAGGATTTTCCCCCTTCGACTGTGCTTCAGTCTCTACAGTTGACAGACAAGTTCAGCAACTCTCAGGTTTTACACCAGTTGCTTCTCTGAAATTAATGATACCAGTGCATCAGGGGTAGCTATTTTTGCTCAGATGACTGCAACATTTTATTTATTTTTACATGACAGGAAGGAGACGGGGGATTAATGATGTTTGGCAGCAAAAACAACCTCTATCCTGTGTGATTAAACTGCAGTTTAATACCTGTTTACACTCACCTACAATGAAACTGGTACATCCATTGGCTAGGCTAGGTGCTAGTATTAGTAACCTCTGGCTCAGAAATCCACTAAAGGCTGCACATTTAGTATTCACAGCAGCAGAGTTGAGAGGCAGTCCTCAGGTGAACATGGGCAAACAACTTCTCTATTCCTCAGTTTCCCCAGCTCTAAAGTTGGGTGTGCTGCAGTGGCATCCAGATACCCCAAGTCAGGACTGGCTTTCCATCCCACCAGGCACAACATTCACAAATCAAGGAACAGCTCAGAAAATGAAAAGCAGCTAAACTGCACTATTGCAAATCAATAACAAGATAATTTTTAATTGTATTATGACCAATTGAAAAAAAAAATAGCGCACAATCACTACAGGTTAATGGGATCATCATAGCAGCAGGTTAATGGGATAGTCTATTTGGCATCTGAGCAAACTGTTTGCTCTCCACTGAGCAATTATCATTAGCAGAACATCCTCTAGTGCTTTATTCTGTACTAGGACTCCAAGCATGTGAGCCCCATTGTGATTAAGGTATCCAGGTTGTAGCCGTGTTGGTCTAGAGGCAAAAGAAATCAGAACTGGTGGTAGAGGTGATCTCTTATTAGAGCAACTGGATTTTTGCACTTCAATTACTTTACTAAATTAGTTATTAAATTAATTTAAATTAAATCAAATTAAGTAAATATTTGTTAAATAGCTATTAATAAATATTTAATAAATTAACTTAATTAAAGATTAATTAATTATTAAATTAAATTAAAATTAAATTAAAATGAAAGCATTTTTTTTTTTTGCAAAATGGTCTAATAAAAGGTGGTCTAATAAGAGATCACCTCTACCACCAGATCTGATTCCATTGTGATTAAGACAGTTTAACATCTGTTGCACTCTCAGGAAGAACAGGTAAAATTTAGTTTTCTTCAATAAAACCTATTTAACAGTTTTGCTCCCCGCCCCCCAAAGACAAATTAAAGAAATCTGTATTGAATGTGAAGGGGTTTACTTGGATTTTTCAGAATTAGATTGGATTAAAAAAAAGGTTTGACAGGCTTTTCCACACCGCTGTATGCATGGTCTCATTGCACAGAGGTTGTGAATGGGTACTGGGGGACTTGCATGCACTGCTGAGTGAAGCCCAAGGGAATTTGCTCATTTATATTAACATAAATGGAGAAGTCTGAGAGGCAGCCCCTGGACAGCAGGAAAGTCTACGGCCAGTTGAGGTCACAAGAACTTAAGTAGTGCCATACAGGGTCAGCCCATAGTCCATCTAGCTCGTCGTCAGTGGCAGGTACGTATGCTATCGAGGGAGAGCACTGAACTTGATCTCTCTAGGGTGATCTATCAATTCAATACTCTCCCTGCCATCCACCATGACTGTTTAGAGATCCCAGAAGTGACAGTATGCATGTGTGACTCTACAGGAAGTATACACCCAATTTTGTATCTGCTCAACTTGATTTGACACTGAGGTACCATTGCAAGCTCCGGCAGAATTTTGTACCAAAATTCCTTAGAACCCCATGTTGTAATGCATACTAATGCGTGCCCGCTAGAAACACCTGCCTGTTTCCATTAGCATGGTTTTTCTATCTTTTCTCTAGGAGCAGGGGAAACAAAAATCCAGTGCAGTGATTTTCAACCAGGGTGCCAGTGCACCCTGGGGTGCCAGTGCACCCTGGGGTGCCACCAGATCCTTTGAAGGGTGCCTCAAGCGTGAGGAGGTAAGCACAGGTTCAGGCTTGCCCCTGCCTGGCTGATCCCGCCAGCCCAGACCCTCTACGAAGAGGAAAGCATTGTAATCTACAAATTAGCTCTTGAAATTGGGTGCCACTCGACTCGCAAGAGCTCTGGAGGGGTGCCTCGAGTCCAATACAGTTGAGAGCCGTTGATGTGAAAGAAAACTGCCTGATGCGCCTGGCCTCTGCCACCTTGTCCTAATGCTCCTCGAGAGCCTGGCGTGATCTGAGGGAAAGCTCATGTTCCAGAGTTAGATCTCTTCTGATGAGAAAAGCCTGTGCCTCCTGCCACTACAGTACGAAACTGTGTCTAAATTACACAACAGCCTCTGAATAAAAGGGCTTTACAGGTCAAGACTGATGCCCTGAATTGGGCCCAGAAGTGAATTAGATGTCAGTGCAGGCGCTAGATCGTTGGTACTGTACGATTCCTGTATGACATACTGCCAAGCAAATGACCGGCAAACATTTTGCACAAACTTATTTCCCTGTGGTCTTCAACCGCATCATGAGGGAACGTGCAGAATAAGCCCACTGCAATAATCAGGTAACCAGTTCATGAGCAAAGGGTTGCAAAACTAGATCCAGCCCTTTCCTAAGTGAAAAAAAAAACAAAGGAAGGCAAGTTGTAGCTACTACTATTACAAACACCTAAGCTAGTAATGGGGAACCCCAGGTATCAGATACAGACAAACCTTCTGAAGGGGGCAGGTATCGCTGAGACTACTCTCTCAGGTTTCTCTACCACTGGGACTACTCTCTCAGCCACCAGAATGATTTCAGTCTTATTCAGACAAACTCTGACCTAGCTAGTTTTCATCCAGATACTGATTTCTGCCATCTGTGGGGAAAACCAGTCAACTGGGGGCCCAACAGATGTAGAGTTGAGCATCAGCTGTACAATGATGAACCTGCATCCTAGTCTTCTCATCTCCTTAGCTGTTTCCTATACAACGAGCAAAGGGAAGAGAAGCATCCTGAAGACGTAGGATCACCTTCACAATATGATACTACTGGTTCTTCATGAGAGAAGAATGAAGCAATGACTGCCATTTATTCGAGCCCAGGGCAATACATGACCCAGTGAAAGTCCCAGATCAACTCTATCAAAGGCTGATACCTGATTTGTGTTCATCACCAGGAGGAGACTCAGTCAGTGAAATGAGCATGACTTCTGGGTTTTACCTTGGCCAAAAGCTCAGATTACAAAGGGTAAGGGAAATGCACTGGACTCTAAAAGGTGCCAGGGCCCCCTTCCTGCAACCTGCCTGATAGCCATCCCCAGCACACAGAGGCTGGGCAATCACTGACAAAGAGAATGGCACTTACAGGCCGCGGTACAGCAGGACACAAGAGAAAGTACGGACGTTCTTGCTGCCCTGTAGGTTAGCTGCACAGGTATCTCTACAAGAGCAGATTCTGGCTCTTCCCCCATTTCAGGTTTGCTGTTTGGAAGCATTAAATTGGCAAGACAACCTCTCTCTGCCTTTATTTTGATGAAAGCAAGTCAGGACAAGATTGTTTCAGAGGCAATGGGTCCTAAAAGGATAATCTTGGCAGCAATTCTAAACAAAGTTGTGCCAATAATACAATAATGCTAATTTCCCCCATTCTTTCTAATGCCTGAAATTCCTTCATATTAATGATCGATGTGCAGGTTCCAGACACCTCAGGCATTAATCATGAGCTTCAGCTAATAAAAAAACCAAAACCTGCCTCTACACATTGAAGACTTTTTAAGCCTCGAGCTGGCCTAAAGGACAAGTGATTCTAATTACAGCACTTCCTTAAAGAAAGAATAAGGAGACAAACCTTACATATTTGAAAGTGAATTATTAGGGAAAAGCATTTGAAAGGAGAAAGAATGTCATGAAAAAACCTGCCAAAGAGATGCTATGGGGAAGAGTACTCAAATGGAGTTACAATGGTGCCTTCATTGCAGATGGAGCTTTTTTGGCAGGTAACTGTGTACTACACTCAAAGCTGGGTAAAATGTCAGTGACCTATATTTCTGTCCCTCTTTCTTTCAGTTCAGAACAGGGTATTGTTAGGCCAGCCCTATAGGGAAGAAACTTTTTGCCTGTAGGAGTTGGTGCGTCCTGTTGCAATCTCACATGAAACTATCGCTCTCTGCTTTCAGCAGGCACTGTAGCAATTTTTAGACAGAAACATCATTAGTGCAGGTAAGTGATCAAGGTGTTACGTTCTAAAGCTTGACTGTTTGCTATTAATAAAATCATGAGATCATAAAATGAAGCAAACTTTTGCTGGTGTTAAGTAACTTGTTCTCAAGCAAGGGTCCTCTCCTTGTTTCTCTGTAGAATAAGAAACAGAAATCAAATCTGGGACAGTGATTAGATCTGAGAGGGGATCTTGTCTTCTTTTACCAAGACATTGACAGAATGAAGTTAGAGACCCATTTTCTTAGGTAAAGAGGCACTGGACAATTGCAGCCTTAAGTTCATATTTCTACCTTGCAGAGGGTGACACTGAGTTTGGGATCTTAAAAAGTAGCAATCACACAGTACCAACATCCAAAACACACACAACTAATCACAGTTCACTAGAAATACAATTGCCACTAGCTTTTGAATAAACCTAAGAAACTCTTTTAGACTTTATGAAAATAATGCTACTATTTACTCATACAGCTGCTTTAAAGAGTATGGTTTATAAAGGAAAAACTCGAAAGTTAGGAAAACCCAGAACTGCGCGGTTGCCCATTACAACCTGTGTCAGGAAGCTTGTGACAAAAGTAAGTGCGAGACCTCATGCTAGTTTTATGATCCCAAAAGCTATTTGAAAAAGACACAGCTTTGAATTGTATGACTTACTCATTCCACACAACAGAATTTTGTGCTAATAGTTCATGTGTCTTAAAAACTCCTCTATGTGCATTTAACCAGTAAAAAACTGGGGCAGGATTTGAGGTCTCTTTTCATGCTTCTATTCTGAGAAGTAGCAATGAGATACAGTAGGCACATATGGTGGATACAGAAGTGTTCTGTGCCTGGTTTACAACGCTGTAATTTAGAGCACTATAAAGGTACCTCACTCTTAAACATGAGAGAAGTGCAGTGTTTTGGTGGGGTTGGAGTGGGCTCTGAGCCTCCCTGCACTTTCCAGGCTAGGAGGCAGGGGTCGCTCCACAATCTCCTGGGGCTTCACCACTGGTCAGAAGTTTGACCAGCATACAGAAGTTATTTAAAGCGCTATAGGTTGCTGAAGTGCTGTAAAGTACAGCGCTTCAAATTCAACCCCTCATTTAACAAGGGTTAATTTAAAGCATTGCACCCATTTTTAAAGTGCTGTAAAGCTATGCACTTCCGTTCAGTCATAGCAATAAAGCACTTTAAAATGGCAAAAAAACAACTTCTGTACACACCAATACTGACAAACAGTATCTCTGAAGGAAACAGAAGCCCCATTGCCTAAATCACTGAAAACTGTCCTGGACAAAGCCCTAGAAAACAGCACTCCAGAGTGTTGTGTTTTTGGAGGAGACAGACCATAGATCTTCATTTCTTTTCTGTGTCTCTGCCTTAACCTGGGAGATGATGCAAACTGTAGAAACAGGTACTCTCATCATCTAGGTTACTGTCTGACAGCTTAGTCAGTTAATGAAGCCTTTCTAAGATTTCCTGAGTATATTTCCATGTTTGTTCAAAGAGATAGAAGAGGAGGATCCCAAATTAATTTCTGTACTAGAAGAAAATATGTTTTTAAAGCACATCTTGTGCATCTCCAAGGATGCTCTAACTCAGCAGGGAAAACAAGCATGCATGCAGAAGTACTCACACATAAGCAACTGCCCCAAAACACAAAATTTTCCTCTACAGGAAACCCTGCAAAACTAAACACAAATGGGAATCTCTCTCTCTAACAGTCAGTGAAGAGAAGCCTGTTTTTCCTGAAATGGGCCAGCAGACAGCTTTAATGATGAGCACTGAACACCAACCAATCCTGCACAAATGTTTTCATTCACGCATTCCTTGGTGAGGACAAAAAGAATTGCTGCTGCACCCTCCCATGCTTAGACGTACTTGTTTCCTGACAGGTTTGCTCAGGGCACCCCTGGAACTAAAGAAATAAAAATGCCAGAACCCTTCAAAGGAAGTCTTATTTCTGCTAACGTCACCCTATAGGTATCTATGCCTATATTTATTCAGCTACTCTGCCCAGCAGCATTCATGTGTGAGTTGTGATGGCCTTCTCCCAGGTTATACACATGCTCACAAAGACTACAAAAGGGCATCTCAGAATCCTGTGCAGAACAGAGCAACAAGAGCACCGCATTAGCTGGGAAGACACAGGGACTGACTCTGCGCTGCCTTCCTGCTAGATCTAAAATCACCATCAGAAAGTAAACCTTGTCCACCTGGCCCTGCTGTTCCTCTAAATACGCACGCACCTGGCAATTACATACCATAGAGGACTTAAAGCAGTGGTACCCATCCTTTTGGCTCCTTGGGTCAGATGAGTGGTCCAGGGTCAATCTATGTGCTAGATCCAGCCCTGCATACCCAGATCTGCCCCCTCGCTGGCCTAGGGCTACAATCTAGTGCCCAAGCCCAAATTATCTGGTATGCAGGGCTCCCCCCAGAATTCTGACAGAAAGGGAGCACTAATTAATGCTACCGCTGCTCCCCTGCTGCCAAATTTTTTGACCTGTGGTGAGCCCCGTGGTCCAGATGACGTGTGGTTCTGCAGGCCAGTTCTGGCCCACAGGCCAAGGATTAGCACCCCTGGTTTAAACTGTTCACGAACATGTGACCAAGGCATATGGATGAGGGACTGCCTTAAGCTTTTTATACTGTCTGACTTGCATGTCAGAGGTGCACAGAGTGAGAGCAAGTGCATGGGCTAACTTCTTCAGTGGCAGTCCTGGGCTTAGCAGAGAGGCAAAAGAAAGGGTCAGGGAATGTGGCGTGGACCAAATCCGCTGCCAAGGAGCTCACATCACAGCTGATATCAATGCTACCATTGAAAGGCAATAGTATAATGGGGCCTCAGGAATACAAGAAAGTGAGAGAGCTGGAGTTTGGAGTTAAACCCAGATCACACTGCAGCGGGTGATGGTGGCAAGAGAGAAAGCACCACTGTACCCTCATGGATTCACAATTGCTGCTGAACAAGTTACTCCTAGGACTGCATATTTAGAAGCCAGTGTAAACCGGAGGATCTTCCAAAGTGGAAGAGCAGAGTCATGCCAGGAGGCACGTAGGGTAACTGGAGATGAACCCCCAACAACTAAAAATGGTGCTTTACTTTAAACTCAGCACGTTCCTGTGCTGAGCTTCACATATGCCCAGGAGAGGCAGCACGTTACTTCAATCCAGCTCACCTGATGTTGATAAAGATCAGGTGCTTTAGTGGGGGCTGAAGTGCCCAATCTTTACAGATGTTGTAGAGCCAGATTGAAGTAACGTGCTCCTTCTTCCAGTAAAGCATGTTCTTTAAAAAAAAATATCTGCACACAGCCATAGTGACTGAAATGCTCTCTTCATTTCAGCCAAGCCAGCACTTGCCACTCAGCCTTGCTACAGGCTATATTATAGGCACAGCACATGGCACACCAATTAGAAACATTTGCCTTCTTCCTGACCACTGGAGTCAAAGCACATCCCAGGACTGGGCAGCAACCTGCAGCCAGATTTCAAACTGACTCAGTGAGATCAGTCTCTAATGGGCAGAGTGAGTGGAAAGATTTGCTTTATTACCACTGTCAGATAGATTTACTTAGGCTTTTTGAGCTCTCCAAAAGGTTATGAGCACAGAACACAAGAAAATAATCTCCCATTGTAAAATGCTTTACCTTCAGACTGTTGTATGCTAGATCAGTATCACGGTCCAAATCCATTTCATTCTTCATTTCAATTACCTGGATGGATTAAAAGACAAACAGGTATTTCAAAATGGATTAAAGAAGCCTAATAAATAGGCTGGTTTTCCAAGGCAGACAATCTGACTTTGATTGCAGCTCTAGGTCACCTATAATATTTGTTGGCAGCCAGCATTATAGTGCCAAAGTCAGCCAGCTGCAGTAAAGAGTATATTGTCAACAGAGATTAGCTAAAGTTCAAAAGCCAAGCAGGACCATAATAGGGGGAAACGTACTAGGGGAAAAAAGTGCGACTTTTCATGTCCCCAATTGTATGCCATCTATTTAGGCTATAAGCCTCACAGGGTGAGAATCCTTCTTGTTTGTCTGATGCATCGATCATATTTATGGGTGCTAGATAAACAACAACACTATGCCTTTCAAATGGAAATGCTGGAATTTAAAGTTTGATACTGGAATTCACTCCCACTTCCTTCAGCATTTTCCTCACCAAAACTTTGGTGCTACGGAAAGAGATAAAACACCTTTCCTTAAATCCACTGTAGCACAAGTCTTGCTTGAAACAAAACAATTCTCATAGCTCAGAATGTTTTAGTCGCCCGTGACACCGTAACCTGCTGCAACAATTACAGTGTACTGCCCTTTCCCTGCACACCTCTGCCAAATGACACGGCACATGGGGTCACTAATAAACCAAGGGCCTGAAGCAAACCGATTTAATGGCCTTACTTTATATTGGAAAACACAAAGCAAATGGGATTTAATGTTTCCTTTCAACATTTGTCCGTTACTGTACAGCGGTTCTCAACTCAGTACTGTCCAAACTTTATTGGTAACCACTCTCTTTGCCTTTCCAGCATGAGGGAGAAGTACGTACTGAGTGGTAATTCACTCTTCTACAGTTAGCAAAGAACCAGAAGGCTTAAATTTATGAAGACAAGTGGTAATTAATTTGAAGCAATTTTCTCTCTCTCTCTCTCTCTCTCTCTCTGTCTCCCTTTCCTTCCCTCCTAGGAAAGCAGGAGTTGCTCATACAAAGGATAAAAGTTTGGGTGACCATAGTACGGTTAAGGGAATTTGGGACGGTAAGGGAATCTGGGATGGGGGGGCACTGCCACTGCACCCACATAGGCACATCCCCCACCGCCCCCCACCTCCCAGGAGCCTCAATGGCAGGGCAAGGACGGGTGGGACAGTGCAAAAGACCCGCGGCCAGGCTCCACCCCCCCACACACAGAGGCTGGACCTGGCTGGGAGTGGCCCCTCCCCCTTGCTGCCACATGCAAGGCCAAGCCCCGCCCCCCCAGCCTGCCCCATCCCACCTGATCACTACCCCGGGCAGGAGTGGTGCCCTGGCCAGCCTGCCCTCGCCCCCTGCCTCCAGTCGCTGCTCAGCAGGAGCCAGGCTGGGCACCGTGGGTGGCAGTAGCCTCTGCCTCCAGCAACTGCATCCAGGACTTTTGCTTCAATTTACACCAAGCTGCTGGGGTGCTGTGACAGCTTCTGAAATCCAGGACTGTCCCAGACAATCCTAGATGTACGGTCACCCTAATAAAAGTGCATGATTCAACTCTGTGCAAAGGCCAGAGATGTGTCATGGAGGGTCAAGTACAACCAATGGTGGCCAGTAGGAGTGTACGAAACAGGCTGAATTCGATTTGGATTCAGCCCAAATCAGGGACAGCAATTCGATTTGTTGATTTGGATCACTGTCCCCCAATTCGATTCAACTGAATCTGAAGATTCAATGCTGATTCGGACAGTCAGTGATTCGGCCACAGACACAGCTTTACACGTTTTTTCTACATACCTTGAGGTACCAGGCACGGCTCATGAATGCCGCGATGCTGGGGTGCATGGAGAGTCCCACAGGCACGACCCCTTGCATGCTTGGCGGCGAACCCAGAAGTGGATCATAAGTCCACTTCTGGGTCTGCCACCAAGCATGCGGGGGGGGGGGGGGGGGGGGGGGCTCTCCCCACAGCCCCCCAGCTCAGTGATTGGCTGCAGGAGGGACCCCAGGTATCCCCCCCCCAGACCCAGGAGGCACCAGTCACCAAGTCAGAGGGGTGCGGGGGCGGGGTCTCTTGCATGCTCCCCGGCAGACCCAGAAGTGGACCAGAAGTGCTTCTGGTCCACTTCCAGGTGTGCTGCCGAGCACGCTGGAGAGCCCTCCACGCACCCCAGCATCACAGCATTCATGAGCCGCCTGCTACCTAGACTAGGATGGAAAGACAGAGTTCCTAGTGGTAAACATCTAGAGGGCTCCCTTGGAGTTCATATGTATATGCAAAAGTGTTGTAAGTAGTAGGTGACAGTGGCAAAAATGCTACTTTTAACTCTCTCTTTTGCTGGGCAGTGAGGAACACATAAGCTTAACTCAAATCATAGCAGTTTCATCCTGAAAACTGATCTAGTGTCCTAGAGCAGCCCTTCCCTGCACGGGGGTAAAGTTTGAAGACACTAACCTTGGAAATATGATCAGAAATGGACAAAACCATGAATTATCCAGATGCAGGCCATTTTCATATGAACCTACTTAAAGTTTATAGATAGATCAATGGGAAAAGACATGAGTTTGGCTCATCTTCAGAAGAGACAGACTAGATATTCAGAAGAGTTAAAACTACCTTAGAGCAGTATTCTATGACACACTGGCCACATCTCTGCTTTTATAAGCTTTGTCTAAATTCACAAAGAGGGATTATTTCTTAGAACCAAATGGGTGGGTCCCAGCTGATAAACTACATGCAATTACAAGGTAGAGGATAATTTTATTGAAGCTAAAAACAAGATACAGCTGAAGAGAATTATCAATTATTGATGCCAATTTAGTTGACTATTACTGCATTTGTCAACTGGCACATGGATTTCCCACTTAAGAAAAATAAATGGAATAGATATGTAATGCATGTATTAAAAGTTGGTAAAATTAATTCTGAATTATGAAACTACAAATCAACCTTAACATCTTGGCATATCGGATAGAGCTGCTGTTACTGAATGGTGTGCATGGTAGCATGCAGTATTTATTCTACTTAGCTGCTCTCTGTACTGTTACAGGCATAATTTTTTCATGGCATGTGTCACTATAATTTTGAAAAGTCACCACCACCTATCAGAGTCAAGAGGACTCAGAGCTGGAGCAAGAAAAAACACTCAGGCTGCTATTAAAAATCAACACTGTCAACAGTTATGCTGCTGGTATTCATAACAGCAGAGCTCTTTCCTGTTCCAATTAGGACAAATGGCCGTCTCCCCTTAAGCAATCAGTGATCGGTATTTCTAACTTTTAAATAACAATTATGATAAGGCCCAAAACATGGGAAGAGGATTCATTCTGTAAAGCAGCTCATAAATTCTGCACAACGATGTGGGAGGAAAAAGGCTGACTGTGCCCTTGTTTTGCAGTTATTGCCTTACAACTGGTAAAGGCCTCCATGCTAAGAATTGGATACTGAGAGTGAAGGCTAGGGATTTCTCTAACAGCCTGTTCAGGACACAAGCCTGCGTTCTAAGGCTGTTATGTGCCTCCTCCCTTGCGAATGCTCCCTTTCATTCCTAAACAAAAAAAAAAGTCAGATACCTAAATCTGCATGCAAACAAATGTTCTGAACATTGAACACAAGAGAAATGAAGGGCATTTGGCACCTCTTAAAAATCAAGTCATTTTCTTCCAGTTTCAGATGCACTGAGGCACCTGGCCTTAGGCATCCACAATGGAAGTGCTGACCCATATGAACAACACCACACACAACATTTTAGCCTCCTGCGTGTAATAACCCTGCCACTACCAACAGACAGTGCTGTAAAGAAAAAAGTGCCTTCTGAAGTGCAGGCTGCCTTTTCACTCGCTGGTTTTGGATATCAAAACTGAATATACGGTTTAAATTTCCCACAGGGTTAGTAAACGGGATCAATGGTATCTTGGATTCATTACAGCACACGCAACAATCACTGCAGGGTCAATTTTCCCTGCGGTGGGATAAACCATTTATAAATTGATTTTACAGTTCATTGATTTCCATGCCATTGCTCATCTAGAAGAGGGTGGCAAATAGAATAAAGAAACAATTATTATTTTTTTATTTTAAATTCTGCAACACGGATGGACAACAGAGTGATGTATATATTTAGAGAGAATGAACTGTTTTGTCAGAACTTTACATTCAGAAAAGAAATTAATGGACCCCATGGTAGAAGCACTTACGGGTTCTAGGAGACCCGACGGCTCTCTGGGTATTTGTCCCTTTGAATATCTAAGTTACACCCCGATTATAGGAAACTAAGCAAAGAGCTTTTCTCCTTTTTGCTTATTTTGCCAGAGGCAGGACTGAAGTCCTTTGCAGGGAGTTTGATGAGATGACATTTAAAGCAACTCATGGATGTGGTAAAAATTATGCTTTTTTATTCTGATAATTCTCAATTTCTCCAAAACTAACTTTTTATGTCCTACCGTGGTATCTCAGGGAAATGCAAGTCCAAGGTGAGCCATGAGCTGGGTAGAGGAAGGTTGGTGCCTGACTGGTCTCAGCACCATGCTCTAGAGATGAAAGATGAGGAGGCTGCTAGTTCTTAAACTGGGGGAACAAGTTGAATTCCTGTCCCTGTGCCTCAGGTCCTGGACAGGCACTATGTCGACATCATTCCACTGGTCTAAGACCATAGCAGACAAATAACACAACCTGCTAAACTGGGGCAATTCACCCAAGCTGGTGCAGATTACTCCGATTCTTTCAGGGGTAATAACCCTACCTGGACAAATTATACCAGCATAGGTGGTGTCTGCCCACAGTAGTTTCCAGGGTAGTCTTTCCCTCAAGGAAAAGAAGCTATTCACTGGATCCATGCCAGCTAATGGTGAGGTACTGTAACAGCAGCCTATTCTCAGTTGTCCTAAACTGCCCATCTGTGGATATCATAATTTATACCAAGTTACAGAACTGGTACAACTTGCACAGGGGCATACAATGATCTGCCCATGCACTCACTCCTCATTTCTAAAGCCCTTCTTCACAAGGGCTTGGTGTCCACTAATATACTTATGACTGGAAAACACAGGTGTCACAGGCGAAGTGGCCATAAGTACCCATGATATCTATAAGATAGACAGGTGATCTAAATTCTTTGACTGATCTGAACCATTGACTTTTTCATCCTGTCAGAGTTAATTCAGGTTTTACCTGCCAAGATAGATTAACCAAGCACCGTGCCCTAGGGTGCATACCTCTGTTTGATGAGGTCTCAAACCACATACTAACAGTAGTAATATTTTATAAGAATGGGGCTTGCCCAGATGCTGTTGGATAAAACATCGATTTCTTCACCCTTGTACTCTCTACTAGGGGTGCACTGATAAAGATATTTTGGGCTGTACTGATGGCCAATTATTAAAGAGCCACATTGGCTGATACGGATCCGATTGCCAATATGCAGCCTGGCAGCTTGGAGAACAGTATCCAGCTGGTAAGTCTGTTGGGGGGAAGGGGCAGGGCAGGGAGGAAAGGGGCATGGGGGTGCAGATTGAGGCCCCCCGCAGTGAGGGAGAGAGAGGAGCAGGGGCTGGGACAGGGGTAGGCACTGCCTAGCCGAGGCAGGGTGGAGCACGGGACTGAGCTGCGAGAGGCTCGTCTGGGGGGCACTGGGAGGGGGGCAGCTCCTGCTGCTGTGTGCACCCCTGGGGGAGACATGGGGGACACGTGCTCCCCAGATCTGTGTGCAGGGTGATGGTGGGCTGCTGCTGTGGGCTGGGCTCTTCCTAGCAGGGGGGTTAGGCTGGGGTTGCGTTCAGGGTGGGTGGTGCTGGGAGGGGGGGGCTATGGAGTGGGCTACAACCACCCCAAAATTCACTGTAGTCCCCCCCTCCCCCTCGAGGAACCACCCTTCACCTCCCTGTGCCCCCTGGACAAACTGCCCACAGGTCCATCCTGTACCCCTCCCCAGCTGGGCAGTGCCTGCCCCTGCCCCACTCCTTCCCTCACTGCAGGGGCCTCGATCTGCACCCCCCACCCCCAACAGACTTACCAGCCAGATGCTGGCTGACTTACCAGCTGGATGCTGGTGTGCACGTGGCATTTACCAGTGACATTATTGGCCACATCAGCCAAAAACAGCTGACTGCTGATAATGTCAATTTTCCTTTTACTGGTGCCGATACGGTATGGACCAATGTATCAGTGTACCTCTACTCTCTACAGGTGCAGAATGCAGCCTGCATAAATACTACATTCCACCATGGAGATGGCTACCTAGCTTCAAGCCCAGAAGTCTACAATAAGGGTTGGTACAGCAGTAGTGCTTTCTGAGTGTATACTTTATCATGCCCTTCAGGATCTTGGACTGTGAAAGGCCAGAACGTCAAATATTGTTAGAGAATCATGCAAGTCAGGGGTGAAAAAGTTGCTCTGGGTCACCCAGTAGTTTCCCATAACTACACATCATCAGTATGGCAATTTTTAAAAATTCAAGTGCTTCTGCTGAGTTTGTCATAACTAGCTCATCATACAACACCATTGTGCTATGATCATCTTTAACTGCCAAAGAGATTTTTCTCTGATTTCCAGGATGAATTTGCCCTTTTTTAACTTGATCCCCATACTCCCAAATCTTAATTCTCATACGGTGTGCCCTAAGGCACTCAAAGAAAGCCAATTATAGATGTGACATTAATATTAACAGAAGGGCCTCTTTTACCTGGGAGCTTTTGTTTTCTTTCTCTTTCTCTCTCTTCTCCAGCTGGGCTTGCAACTTCTTTCTCTCCTGTTCAAGCTCCCTCACTCGCTTTTGTAGTTTCAGGAAGACAGTCATGTCCATGGCTGCTTTCTCAATACCAACCTCCTATGAAAGGGGAAAGAGGAAAGGAAAGAAATGAAAAATTGTAGCAGTCCAAAGGCTTTGCCAAATATTCCACTCCTAGTTGAAATGTGTGGGATGTGTGCCATTATATGTTTGCATCCCCCCCAAACACTTGCTTAATGTGACAGTTTTTAAAAGTTTACATACCTGTCAAAAATCAATATTAACATTTGTGTTGCACATTATATTAAATTCCAGTGACACACAGGTTATAAAGGAACACTAAGTGGCTAATAGTGTTAATTACTCAAATCATCCTATAAATATTCCTATACATAGCCAGCAGATCAACAGACTTCTTATAGCCATAGATAACAGCCATTTATGACACCTTTTACAGAGTTACCTAAAACCATCTATACGTTATACTAATGTCTGTAACAGACTTAGGGCATCCGTTATTAATTTATTTATTAGTCTTTGATAAGTTATACCTAGACTTTTAATTCTAAAATTCAACCAATACTGATTTTCATATTGCCCAAAGACACCAATCCATTGCAATCAGATAGCAGATTTCTCAGAACTCCTTATACACGTTAGAGAAGCCTCATAACGTCCAGGTGAGAAAGTCCACAGAAATGGAAGCTGGGGCAGAGAAGACTTCTTCAGGGTCACAGACCAACTCTGTAACAGGCTGCAGCCTCTCAGGAATGTGCTCTACCTTTGTAGCTCCTGTATTTTAGACTCCATCTTAAATCTGAAGTATTTATATTACTGGCCTCTGCCTCTGGTAGCAAACATAAGCCAAAATATACTCTCCCCTTCCCCAAGTACATTAGACAATAAGCTAATTTCCTACAGTTGACTTCAGAGCATACATTGGCTGGAAAAGTATGTGTAAAACTAACTGGAATAAAGATGTAATTTAGGAGGTCTGTAACGTATTTTGGGTATCCCTCCGGATGAAAGTTGCTGCATAAACATAGCATAACCAGCAGAATAATTAATAGAGGACCATAACAATAGCTAATGGTTGGTGTTTATATCCATAAATACTTGCTAGGATGTATGTGCTGGAGCAGTGCCCACTGCAGGCCTGCAGCCTCGTAACGTCTCTTTCATACAATTACGATTCTGTAGCACGAGTGCAATTCTCACTAGTCACGTTTCCTAGGCCATTCCACTCCCCTGCTTTTCCATTAATGTGATCCCAAAACTTAAATTATTCCTTCCTGGGTACTCAGGAACATACAGAGCCCCCTAGCTCATCTGACTTACAGTACCTCCACTTGTTGTATTGCATCCTCTGTGTCTCCTATCTCAGATGTAGAGAATGACGGGTAGTTGGAGTCAGACTCGAGACTGCTCTGATTAGAGGGGTTTCTTCTGTGCCCTGGGGTTTGCTGTTGAAACAGAGATCATGTGAGTGAATCAATACCACCGCAAAGACACTGTAGTCAAGATAGGCAAACTGTTTGAGTTGGGGACCTTGTCTGTTAGGTATTCTGGAAATTATCAGGTACACGTGTGATACTTTATACCTAGTACACTCAAGGCATTTTTTGTTACGATAATATTTATTTATGTTCATATTATAGTAAAATAAAACCAACAAAAATAAACTAAGCCAATAAGTAAAATACAATAAGAAAGCAATACTAAAGTATTGCAGCATCCAGAGTATTTAATGAGCCAAAGTACTGTGCTCAGGATTGTACAGGACACACAGGAGATTGGCTCTTCTCAAAATGCTCCACAAAACAATGCAGACATGTAGTGCTGAAAACAAGGATTCCTCATGAAGCAGTGTGTTGTAAAAGTAAATATTATGTTTTTAATATTAAAGTTTACTTTTCTAAGAGGGTTTACTTTTTGTCTTCTTTGACACTACTGCTTGTGCTGACATTACCAGAGGGCAATGTTGAGTCAAAACACAAAATTAAAGATGCCCCCACAAACCTCTTGCATTTATCCAACATTTTTAAAAGCATTTCTAAACACCAGATGCCTGGGAAATTTGACCAGGAAAATCTGAATTTTGAGCTTAATTCTTTTTGCAGCTCCCCCTGGGTTTTCTTTCAAATGTTTGGCCCCCAAACCAGTTGGCAGCGACCTTTAATTATTCATATTTAATTTTCAATGAAGCTATTACTAAAAATTCAGCAGAGCCAGTCAGATCTAACACTCACATTTTTATATTTATGAAACCAAAATGGTTTTCATTGAACTGAATGTCATGATGTGCCCATGTCACTGAATTGGAGAAAATGGAAACAATTTCTGCTAAGATTTGCTTATTATTTCAAGATAAATCTAAAAACACTTAAAGTAACTATAGAAAGTTACACATTCCCTGAAAGTTTCCCCACACGAATTTCAATGCAGAATCATCAACACAAACCAACTGGGTAATAATGCCACTGTCACCAAGTGTTTTGTGGGATGAACTGTACCACATTATCATGACTAGAAGATGGGAGCACAGAGATAGTTTAAAAAGGCTCTTCCATTACCTTTATAATAGTCATCTCATCCCTCAAATTGTCATATCTCTGCTCCAGCCTCGAAAATTCCTTCACAAGGTTTTGATAACGAGATCTTTCCTCTTCTAGCTCCTTCTTCAACAGATTTTCCTCAACAGTGTTGCGTGCAAATTCATCTTTAAAAGATATATTCATAATGGAAAATCATGGTTCAATAAGTATTGCCTGTAGGTAGCTGCAAAAGCATTGATGGGCAAATGCACATCTGTTAAGTGACTTCGCATAGCAACCCAAGCTAATGCCAAATGACTATATTGCAACTGGTTTGTGACAATTTCCTATGAGATGGCTATTTGGAGCAGCTCTCCTGCTTTTAGGAGAAAAGGCCTCTGCTACCATTTGAAATACAGAAGATTCTCCCTTACCTACTAGTAATAAGCAGGGATCTGGGTTTTCCATTTCCCATGGAAAAGCAGAGTGAAACACAGACTTCCCTCCTTACTAGAGTACAATGCAGATTTCTCACTTTAGCAGAGAAACCCACGGATGTTACAGTTTCACAGAGACCTCTGTGGGCTGGCAGATTTCCAGCCTGCAAGGGGCTGGGGGGAGTGGGAAGAGGGTGGTCTGGCAGCCTGGAGAGAAGCTCCCACAGGTAAGTTGCAGGGGGATTGAGGCCCCCATAGGGAGGGAGTTGGGTAGGGCTGGGGCTACTGCCTAGACAGGCGGTGTGTGGGGCTTGGGGCCGCAATGCATAGCTGCAGGGCCCCGGCGCTTCCCACCACTGCTCATGCTCCGGCGGGGGGGTGGCAGGGGAGCCACATGCCCCCCCAGATCTGTATGCGGGGCGGGGGCAGGCTGCTCACTGCAGGCTTGGGCTCCCATCCTAATGCCCTCCTCTGGTGCCTCTGCAGCCCAGCAGGTGCAACCCAGTACTGCAGGGCACAGTGAGGCTGCACAGGAAAGTTGCCTGCTGTTGCGAGCTCCGCACTGCCCTGATGATGCGTCCCCTTACTGCCTTGCCTTAATAGCACGTGTAGCTGTATCCTAGGAGTCTGAATAAGCAGACAGATTGCCAATACCGCTGAATATTTAGCAACTCACATCTATTTCTTCCAATGGAAACTGCTGGGATCCCAACACCAGAAAAAAAAGCAAGTCTCTTTTGGAGTACTTAAATATGAACCTTAACACGTGGTTTTCAAAACATGGGTGTGTAAGTCCTGGGACAGCTGGCAATCAGCCGCATGGGCAGCAGCCTACGGGGAGGCTTCCACAGAGTCTGTATTATGCCTACTTCTAGCTAGAGCTTTTCAAGAGCTCCAAAGACACCAAAGCTAAAACCAACAAATATTTCACAAGTCTGCTCTGTGTCCTTGTGTTTTCAACCTATTATATGGAGGGGCACTTCCGAAATGCAACAAGTCAATTAGACCCACAACCACAGGGGGCAGATTACGCAATTCCTATATAAAGAAAACCCTGTATCAGAATAAAAGCTGAAGAGAGTCAGATAAAAGGCAGAAGGCATCCACGAGGGAGTACAGGCCTTTCACAGTCCAGGTACTCCCCTGACTTTTCTCTGTAGGTCTCTCATCAAGGCCTCTGCACTAGAAGTCATTCCCTCGCTCCTGACACAGCAAGAAAAAGTCCCTCATCATGGTTCAAATACAAGAGTGTTTGAACATCTGTTTCTAGTACCTTGTTCTACCTGTCGGCATTAGAGAGCTGTCCCCTGCTCCCCACCCTCTCCCCCCTTCACCCCTGCAATGCAACTGAATGGAAAATCCTTCGGGTACGATATTCCCTGCTTAATCCCTCACGGATTAAATCAGGTTCCTGTCTTGTTATCCTGCAGTAGGAAAGAAAGAACAGAACAACAAATACTGGCAAGGGGGAAGAAGGGGTAGTACGCTGAAAAATTAGCACATATCAGGATAGGAGCCATTCCTGAGGCACAGAGGAGAAACAAGTCGTAGGAAGCATGGTTAAACCCCTGGGTTACTGAAACGGTTATGAATCCATAAGCCCTTTTTTCTTACCTTCAGATTGACACAGGACTCTGTTGTTAAGCTCCTCTTTTTCCTGTTTCAAAAGAGCATTCTCCTCTTCTAGGTCTGATACACGCTAGGAAAGGAACAAGGTAAAGCATTACATCCTGTAACGCAGGCCACCTCCCGGTCAACCTCCCTCCGGGGGGATTACGTTTCACCTGGCTGGAGCTCCCCCCCATCCTAAATGAAACCAGTTTCTCTCGCTGGGCTCTGGAAGCAACTCAAACCCAGAAGCATGAATCGAAAGAGGGATTCAACCGCAACTGAAGTATGTTTTTCTCCTCCAAGTAAACTGTCCCAAAAAACCAGACATGGGAATTAACTAGTTAATTAGCCATTTCTTTAACTTCTTAACTAGTAACTTTTAACTTTAACTAGTTAAATTTTTCAGCTGTCAACTTTTAACTTTAACTAGTTAAATAAAGGGTTAACTAACTTTTTTAACGTATAAGTTAAAAAAAAAAAAAAAAGAAAAAAGAAATCTGCCTGCTGCAGAGTTTCCCCCCCCCCCCCCAGCCACTCTCTAGGACTTACATGGAACAATATTTCTTTATTGAAACGCTAGGACTTCTTGTTTGAGAGAGAGAAAGTAGCGTGCCTTCCTGTGAGAGATGGTCTCTTAAGAACTACAAGTCCCAGAGCTCCTTAGTTCATGCTGGCATTTTCTGTGCATTTGCAGAAGTGAAGAGGGCAGCCAGTTGGCTGCAGGAGAGGGAACAAGCACAAGCAAGCAGAGACACTGATCCCAGTAAGAGTGGGAGCAAGTAGTGAGGGTAAAGCAGATAATGACTTTTTAAAATTTTAATGAAGATCAGAACCAGCAGCCCAGAGCCCAAGTTGAGCATTACTTCTCATCTGTGACAAACGTATCTGAGATGTCACCTACTATGAAAAAACTATTCATCCGGTATAACACAAGCATTCCCTCATCTGCCCATGTAGAGCAATTGTTCAGTAGTGGGGGCTTAGTTTTGCAGACAGAGGAGGAAAATCGTCAGATGTAAATTTTGAAATGCAGCTTTTGGTGAAGTTCAATAAGCAGGTTTAAACAGTTTCTGCTATGCAACTGAACCTTCTTTTTCTCATTTAAACGGATTTTCTCATTTCAGTCTAATTTTGATTTTCACACACTTTCATTATTTCTAATTCAGATGCATTTCATACCCTTTTGTTACCTTTTGACCAATAAAAATTGTAGCTACAGAGGTTTTCTGTGGAAACAGCTTTCATTTGTCACCTGGCTATGAATATCTCCTTTCTGTTATTCTGGTGTACCTATATGATGCATTGACTTTTACAAAGTAAAATTAGTACTTCACATGGAGAGGGTGAGAAGGATCTAACATTACATAGGTATTGGTAAATTGTTATTCTGAAAACTGTATGACAAGTATAACTTTGTTTTCAGGTAAAGCAGAGTGAGTGCCTAGTAAATTAGTGCGCTTCTGTGGGCTTATGAAAAAAACCCATTCATTGCTTTTGAAAATGAAAAACGATGCTAAGAGGCAATTCACCATGTTTCACGCATTTCTCGAATTAACTTAACTTTTAACTAGTTACTCTCTTTTTAACTTACCATTTAACTAGTTGCAAGTGGAAATATTTAACTTTTAACTTAAATTTTAAAGGCTGCTAACTTTTAACTTTAACTAGTTACATTTTTCATAAACTTTTCCCATGACTGCAAAAAACTAAAGTTGACAAAAATAGAGCTGTTTCACTGAATGCAAACACAACACAAGCTGTTCACTGGGATCCACTAGATAAGGCTGTCCAAATACAGAAAAGTCCATTTTCATATTTAAAAAGAACTACACATTTGCCTTAAAAACACTGCTGCTAATTTTGCTACAGAATACTAAAATATTCTGTAGTAGTCTCGTCCACAGTGTCACCTTCCTATAGAGGAAGCAAAGCTCTTGGCCAGATGCATGGTATTGTCCATGTACTTTTACAATGATGGAACTTTGTCCAGAAAATAAGAGAACAGGATGACATGAGGATGGGAGGGTGGACAGGGGGTGGACCAAGTATAAATGTTGCCACTAAGAAAGGATTACAAAAGGAAAAAAGCCAGAAGGGAAGAACAGAGGAGACAACAGCAACATCATTCTGAGCATTCAAAAAAAGAATCTGCAATACGTAAACCACAATGATGGCGAGGGCTGGACATCAACTGTCCATGGAGGCATGTTTCCAGCCACAAGAGGATCTCAACATGCTTCCCAGTTAATAAAGGAGTTTAGAGACACAGTAAAGAGATAGACAAAGCGTTTGAGCCATGTGGAAGGACTGTTAGGGAGATCCTTTAAATTTTCCAAGCAATGCATCTATTGTGGCAGTCTTGCTGTGCTCATCACCAGAGTATCCAAGTGCTTTACAAGCTAAATACTAAATATGTCAACCTGGCTGTAACTCTGAAATGGTATGTTTGCTATACAGGTACTCCTCACTTAACGACCTACCTGTTTAACGACCCACGAGAACTTTGGTCGTGGAAACGGCAGCGCGGCGTCTCAAGCCAAGGCACGCAGTATCAAGGGGTGGCTCCTCGCTTATCGACCAATTCGCTTAACGACCTAGTCGCAGGAACGGAACTCGGTCGTTAAGTGAGGAGTGCCTGTATGCCCTTTTTGCATCTCGTATTATGATTATAAAACTTTGGAGTGAGGACTCTGCACTTTTTACAGCATGCAGCCCAACAAGACAGGACTCTCCACACTACTTTAATATAAATAGATGATAACACATTTTAAGTATTAATAATCGTCACTAACAGTCATGACTGACAGTTAATGGTCACACTGCCTGAATACTAAAAACCAGTGCTAAACATAGTAGTCATAAGAGATGCTATGTAAAAGCATGAAGCAGAGTAAAACTGAATGTCACGTAGGATGACACTGCTCCTACAGTGAAGCTGGCAGCCACTCAGTAAATTCACTCAGCCTTGCTCACTAATGTATATGCCAACATTAGTTTAGACAAGTCAAAACAGAAAGTCGTTGTACATAAATGTGTGACATACTGCTCCATTTAAGCAGAAAATTCTGCTGCTGCTACCAGGGATGAAAGCACAATTAAATGCGCAGCATCCTGACGTGATGTTACTCTTGAGGTTTATGAAGTTGCATCACATAATACAACAGCCAAAATTTAGAAATGTCTTGCAGGGAACAATACATGGATCTCAAAGCATCTGGAAAAAAACAACTCCGTGCTATGAAGGGTTTTTCACTAAGCAAGAAAGCATAACACAGCCTAACTGTAACTAAAATACAGTCATCTAATTTAAGAGTGTTCATGCTGCTCTACTTAGTCTTCTGGGCAGGTAGAATAAACCAAGGTATTTTAGCAAAAAATTCACATGGCAAAAACAATGGCTAGTGGAGGTGAAAATAGAGAAGATTCAAAATGTACTCAGAAAATCACTTCTGCTCTTTTACAATCATTTAGCTATAAAACTATAACTGAACGAGTCATCCCCATGGAGCAATCAGCTATACCTTTGTGTGAATTATGTTTACATTGCGAATACCGCTGCGGACTAGACAGAAGTGGAGTAAAGAAAACTTACTCTCTGCACCCTGCAGAACTACAGGCAACTTGGGAAAATGTGTTTATATTGCATCAGCAAGGTAAATCTAGAGCATGTGTGTATGTATGTGTGTGCGTGAATATTCCCCAAATGCTATAATACAATGTGCTCTTTATATAGCAATCTCTCATAATCTGGAAAAGGAAGAGAGGACTGAGGAGCCTGAGGCTGAGAAATCTCTTACTTTTGTTTGAAGGGAAGAAAAAGTATGGCATAGAGATGAGCTGGCACAATAAATGGCTCCTTGCTAAAGGCATATCCTTTATCCTCTATAAACCCCAGGCCCAAATGAAAGCTTTTTATTCTCTCAAAGCTAATGGGTTTTGTTTATTGGTTTCTTGTTTCCGTATGAAAGAGAGAGAAAAACTAGAACTTCACATTCACATTTCAGAGAATCCTAATGAGAACAGAAATGGCCCATTTAATGCGGGAACAGAGAAATGGAGCCAGTTACATTGCAGCAATGCTTCAAAATTCCTCTATGGTTTGAGATTTCTATCTATAGCTGAGCTTTCCTTGGGAGAAAGCGAGGCCCAGATTTCAAAAAGAGCTCGGCACCCACTTTGGTGCTTAAATGAAGTGTCTGGAGTTTCTGAAAGTGCTCAGCACCAAGCAGCTCTCCTTGAGATCTAAATATTTGCAGGTTAGGTGTTGAAGGCCAAGCATTTTTTAGATCAAGTCCTTACTTGGTTGTCTAAAATGACACTTCAACACTATCTGGCTTCAGTTGTGGGTACTAGGCACTTTGGAAAGTCTGGCTCTAAGGCTGGGGGGAGTAACCAGTTAGGATGTTCTAAAAACTCCAGCTAGGTAGCTCGCAGAACAGGTAGGTTATTTGCTAAAATCCATTCAGAATAGTTCATCAGACCCACACTGCACTCTCCTGCTAGAGTCTGAAAATTAAGTCAGTCAGATGAACTATGTTGATTGAAGGAAGACAAACTAAGAGAAAAAGTGAAAGAACAAACCTGAGCATATAGACAGACAAGGTTCTTTGGGCAGATGTGGTATCTTTTATTAGACCACAATATAGTTGGAAAAATTGTTCTCTGAAAGCTTGTGGGCACAAATATCATTTTTTAGGCATCTAGAGTCTGCTAGTGAACTGCATGCTCTCCTGGGTAGAATAGAAGCCAAAATGCAGGTCTGTGAAGATGCAAATGCATAGCAGTGAGGATCAGAGGGAATGGGAGACAATAGGTGGGAGACAGGTGCAGGAGAAGGGGAAATGCTGAACTGGAGATAGAAGAACATAGTTGGTAAAATGCAGACAGGTTACCTGGGGTTATCAGATGGCAGGCAGGTTATAATGTGCCATAAATAATGTCTGTAGTCCATCATTTTTGGTATACAGTAGGTTTAGGAAGTGAAGCTCTACCTGAGGGTAGATTCTTTACTGACAACATTGCAATTAAAATGGATTTGTGGCAGCTGCAGACATGTTCAAGTCCAAAAAGTTAAATGGAAACAGTCAA